TATATATATATATATATATATTACATCCCATACCTAGTGTGTTTACCATTTCTCCATCTAGAGAGAAGTAGAGTTGCTATCTCGGGAGTAGCATATAGTATTTTAGCATGCAATGGCATGGTGTTTGCACTTCTGTGACACCGGTGCTTATTAGATATTTATTCAGCTTTGTATACTAATCGCCTAAACTTCCTGTTTCCGCCAGGAATCATCGCACTGAAGTACACCAATGGCGACCCGTGCCCCACCGACAGCACCAAAGAGCGGAGCACGCAGATTACATTTGTGTGCAACAAACACACAGGTGAGTGCCTTATAATCACGTGTGATCCGTGAGGTGTATATGCGGGCGATGGGCGTGTGTGTGATTCTCTTGTATTTTGTAGCGTAGGGTGTGTGTATGTTGTGCTTGGGTCAACTGCATAGCTAAGTATGTGTCTGCTTAGTAACTATGTGTCTGTATGCTGTATGTGTATGCGTAGCTATGTATGTGTCTGTTTCATAGCATGTGTGTGTATGTTAAATAGCTATGTATGTGTCTGCTTAGTAGCTATGTATGTGTCCGTTTAATAGCTATGTATGTGTCTATTTAATAGTTATGTATGTGTCTGCTTAATAGCTATGTATGTGTCTGTATAGCAGTTGTGTATGTGACTGTTTAATAGTTGTGTATGTGTCTGTTCAATAGCTATGTATGTGTATATTTAAAAGTTATGTATGTGTCTGTATGATAATTATGTATGTGTCTGCTTAATAGCTATGTATGTGTCTGTATAGCAGTTGTGTATGTGTCTGTTTAATAGCTATGTGTTTGTCTGTTAATAGCTGTCTATGTATGTGTATGCGCAAGGCATTGTCCCGTCTAAAACCTGCGATTGTAAAATCCGATGTTTGCTCAGCTATAATACACATACCTACCGCTCAATCCGGTCCTGAAATACAACCCCTAGTCCGAAAACCCTTGAACACCCCAAATCCAGGCACAGGACAGCCCCGCCTGGTCCTCAATGACCTAGACTGCACACTCGGGTTCATCTGGGAAACTGTGCACGCGTGCTCGGATGTGGATGCGAGTGTGGAGTGTGCGTTTACAAGCACGTTCAGTGGCATGCCGTATGACCTGTCTCCGTTGACTGAGCCCGAGGGTGCGTGGGAGGTGACAGATCCAGCGACTGAGTACAAGTACTACCTGAATGTGTGCCAAGGCATCAGCAACGTGCACGCGGGGGTGAGTGTGGGTGAGCGGGTTGTGGGGGAGTGGGTGCGTGTGGTTACATGTGTACCTGCAGTTTATACAGAGTGCATGTAGGTGCACACACGTTGGTGTAGTTTTGTACAGGCTTCATATACATAGCTTCATACATTGACTTGTAGAATGGGTGTCCCCGTGAATGCATCTGAGCCACTCCATCTGCGACAAGTGCTGAGACATGCATGCGTACCTTGACACAGAGGCAAGCATTTCCTATACATCTGCATATACATACTTCATCTGTGACTATATAACTGGTTGTTCTAAAAACACACCACTGTATGTACCTTATATACTGCACTCATGTCTCTTACCATCGCAGACACATATGTGCCTATATAACTGGTTGTTTTACCCACATACAAATGTATATATATATATATATATATATATACTTATACACCCTCTTCATGTCGACTCTCTCTCTCCTGACTCGTCTATACCTCCACGCACTTTAGGCCCAGGGCTGCCCGGTGAACGCAGGTGCGTGCGAGACCTCACCCACAGACGACTCCTTCAGACCACTCAACCTCGGCCGTATAGTGAGCCGTCCCTCAGTGAATAACGAAGGTCTTGTGGAGATACGCTACATGCATGGCAGTCAATGCCACGACCATCACTACCACAGGCAGACCCTCATACTGTTTGAGTGTGATGAAAGTGCTGGTAGAGGCGCACCCGAGTTTGTCAGCGAGTCGGGTATGTGGTGGTTGTAGGGGTGTACTTGTGTGGGGAGCGGGGCTGTCTCTGTGTATGTGTAGGGATACTGTGTGTGTGTGTGTGTGTCTATGTACTCATATATATGCACGGAAGTTATACATCTAAGATATATACCTAAGTTATATACCTCAATTGTATACCTAAGCTAAATACCTAAGTTACATATACCAAAGTTATATTCCTAAGTTATGTCTCTACGTCATGTATTTGTTGTGTGCCTGAGTCATATGCCTAAGTTGTATAATCAAGGTATATATCTAAGTTATATGCAACAAACAAAACACTGCTTCAATCGTCGTATGCCTGTGTACTAAACAAGACTATTCCATACAACCTACATACTAAACCTAACTCCTAAACCCTAAACCTTAAATCCTAAACTCTACCGAACATCACGAGTTTGTCACCATATAACCTACTCACCCAACCCGAACCTTAAACCTCTAAACTCTGAACCCTAAAACCCTAAACCCTACAGAACATTGCGAGTACGTGTTCCGCTGGAAGACTAAGGCAGCTTGTCCGCTAAGTGCAAGTGTCATCGACCACTCAGAGAACTGCAAGATCGAACACCCCGTGACAGGCCATGTGTACGACCTCACATCCATGGCAACAGGCAACCCCTACAGGGTACGTGCATGTGTGGGCTCAGTACATACACACTGTACATGTGTGTGAGTGGATGTATGTATGTATTCATTTATGTGTGTTTGTATGTGTGCGTGTGTGTGTATGTGTGTGTGTGTGTATGTGTATGTATGTATATATTTTATATTTATATTTTATATATATATACATATATATTATATATTACATATATATATATATATATATATATATATATATATATATATATATATATATATTATATATATATCTATATATATCTATATATATATATATAATACAGCCAGCGCCTTGAATACTCTCACATTCAAATATATTTCTCCCTTTTCCCCACAGTTCTACCGTGATGGGTATGTATATCACATGTCTATGTGCGGCCCATTAATTGAGACCTTTGGGTGTCCTCCTGGAGTGGCCCTGTGCCAAACAAAAAGGACCAATAGTGACCCCGAAGGCGAATACCACGAGCCCTTGGGGTACTCAGCCAAGACATCTCTTATGTTTGCCGGAGGTATGCCGCATCTGTGTAGCATTTATCATGGTTTTATTATTTGTCTAGCTATTTCCCTTTTGTTTATAAGTGTCTATGTTTGGAACACATTTGTTCTGTACATAAGCATATATGTATATATATGTGTGTGTAGATGTATATGTGTTGTTGTTGTGTGACGCTAAACATTGAAGATGTACACATACATACATATATACAGGAATAGATATATATATAAACATATACATGTATATATATATATACGCCATTCTACGCGCATGTGCATATACATATACATATACACCACTCTACGCGCATGTACATTGTATCTCCTACTAATATTGCAGTAGGTCTAAATTAGCCTTTTCTGTTGCGTTGTCCCTCTTCAAGCGTAGTCGCCCTAAACCAAGTTCTTTTGTCCAGATTACTGGTGTCAACCCTCGGCCATTGGTATACCTTCATACACACATGCGCAAGTACACAATGTATATGTTTTGACGTTCTAGGGTTACAGGGTTTTAGGGGTTTGAAAGTCCACCCAGACGTAGAAACAAACATCGATACGCATATAAGCCTATATTCTCGCCTGTCCCCTTCCCTTTAAAGGCCCGGGGGTTGGCGCCTACCAGGCTCCACACAACGAAGCTGGTACTAAAGATGAGTTATGAGCTATGGTCTCCGTTGAGATACACACGAACACGTACGCTATGTTATATATGTGTGTATACGGAGACTTTCACACGTTTACATATCCTATACAATTTATGTGCGCTGTGTTATATATGTGTATACAGACACTCCCACACACACGCAGTCACCTACACCACCCAACGCACACTCACTCACTAATTATATATATATATATATATATATATATATATATATACTACCTCCCTCTCTCTATAATATATATAATA